ATGTACGGTAATGTACGGTAGATGTACGGTAGATGTACGGTAGATCTGCCGTACATCTACCGTACATCTACCGTACATTACCGTACATTCCCGTACATCTACTGTACATATAGCCTCTTGTTCATCAGGTTACATCAGATCTTTTGAGGGACTGTGTGTGTGTGCATCTTGTGATGCGTCACGGACAGGCAAGGATCTACTCCTCAATTTTGGGGCGTGATCCAGCTTAATGGCTTCTAGTTGTTCCATGGCCTACATAATGGATTCGTTACACTATATTCTACTACGTGTGCGTGTTGCATATTTACGTGTTTCTGTGTGCAAAGTACTACTCTGTCGTACGGGTGGACCACCACCCCACAAATTTTTCACGACTAAAACATAAAAAACAATCGCGCCCATAAAAACAGAAAAAATGTTTCCAAAACAACACAAAATACAAAGATTTGCTAATCAGTCTCAGTTCTACACAAAAAAGAAGAGTACACCAAAAAAACATTGAAAAACGCTTCTCTGCAAACCCGTCCACAAAAAACATAGTTTTTTCAATGCAAAAACCTAAGTTCCCTAAGTAAGTTGTAAGTGATTTAGCACTAATTTAGCACCCTCCAACATAAACTAGGATAACTTACTTATATATATCGAAAGTAATTTGTAACTGCAACGTAAATACCACCAAGAACTTAGAACACTTCACAATCTTAGACCAGCTTACAACATCAGTTAACCCATGTTATAACATATGTTACGGCACTTTACAAGTTCTCCAACTAGGGGGGCCCATCTTTGTAGCAGTTTGGGTCTACTGGTGGGTAAGGACTTTTTGGACTCCCTCGGTGCCGTCATCGACTTTTTGCACAACCGGGTCAAATTTCAGTTGCTTGCAGATGATCATTGGGTTCGTCTTCACAAGTTGAAAGCTGGTCATTTTGCCGTGCCTTGTTTACCAACCCCTTTGCATCAGTGACCTGAGTTGAGTTCTTTGCCCTGGATCCCCATCGGAAGAGATGCATGTTGTGAGATTCAAATTGCTAGCAAAGAACAATGGATTTTGAAGCGTCTTCACAAGTCAGTTTCAACTCCAGCCTCTGAAGTGAATGTCACTGAGCACTTTGTTCCGGCAGTGTTTTTGGAGCAAGAAGCAGCCGAAGATCTTCATCCTTGGCATGGAGCACGGTGCGCCGGTATGCTGCTGGCAGCCGAAGGATCGAGCTCCAGTGCGCTGGGGCCGGATGCTGATGAGGCTGCTGGCGAGGAATCGCTGGCATTGGCAGGGCATTTTGCTCTGGATGATCCAGCGCCCATACCTGAGAGGACTTCCACCTCCGCTTCCATCAGTCTCGACTCCAGCCGAGTGGGAGCATCAGACGGCCGAAATGTGCAAAAGGCGATCGTGGCCGAGAAAGTGGGCTCATTCCCTTATGAGACAGGGAGAGAAGTTTACGTTGTTTCATTTGAAGGATTCGATGCACCTGCGAGACAGGATGGGCCTCGAGTTGAGCTTCATGGAGGACGACGCCATCCTCTTCGGCATCCAGGCATTGAAGAAGAAGCCAAGACGCAAGATGCAAGAGGCACTGGTGATGGAAACTCAGCGACTCCTCCAGCTCAGCGACGCCGATCGCACGATGCAGCTTCGTTCATTGCTTGGGCCCAGAGGAGGATTGCCCAGGCTCAAGGACGAGCTTGTCAAGACAGCCACGCTCCTGAACACCAAGGTGG